GTTTAAAATTAACTCGGAGTCACAGAGCGAAAAGCGTCCTCGTGCCAGAAGTTTGAATAAACCAAGTGTAAACCTTTGGGGCTGAAAAATTAAGCCAATCCTGAAATAGATACTTGAGGTTGGTTCCAAAAATGAGTCGGTCCCCACGGACTCCTATATTAAAACGCATGACTGTACTGGAGGAATAACCATAATTACAGCCTGGTATAAAAATTGTTTTGGTCCCTGGGTTAATTTTAATGCTTTTTACAACTGTACAGAGGAATCTTTTTTAACCTTCCCTGTAAATTAATATTAAGGCTTAATTATAAGGGCTGCTTTGCTTTATGTGACCTTGGTTCCAACTAGGCCATAAGTCTTCAGGCTTCAACTCTTTTCAACCATGCAGCTGTCTGACCAATGTACAGTTTGTTGTGCAGTTTATGTAAGTGATATCGTAGCAGTTAGTTACTAAGCACTACTTAGCATGTATGTGTTTGTGTAGCATATCCATACATTCTGTGGTTATAGTTTGCTAACTTCTTCCTGTTTAAAGGGAGTTTTTCCTTCCCGCTGTCGCCAAGTGCTTGCTCAAGTGGGGTCAATTTGGTTGTTGGGGGTTTCTGTTTCATTGTAGGGTTTTTACTAGAGATGGAACGATGCAACTTTTTAATGTCCGATACCAATATCATAAATTTGGATATCTGCCGATACCGATATGAATCCGATATAGTGTATTTTAATCAATAAAATTTTTTTTTTTTTATATATTTTGCTGCATTTTGTTCATACTCAAGTTTAAAAAAACAAAACACTAAAGCTATTCTATTATACCTTAATGCAAAAAATACACTGCACCCAAAATATTTCATAGTTCAGCAATACTGATCAGTCTAATAAACTTAAACCTGCACCATCCTCTCTATTCTGGTATTTTAAAGAGTACTTGGCGGAAATATTAAACAACCTAACTAATGGGATTGCCAACAAAAAAATATGGGGAACCACCCTCCGCCTCATGATGCTTAATCGATGTAATCAACTTTAATTTAATGTATGTGTAAAACAAATGCACAGAAATCAATTATTTTTCTACAATAATTAAAAAGATTCAATATTTTTCTTCAACAGTATTTTCCCTGTTAATGCCCTACCTGCCCCCCCTGGCTAAACTTTGCTAGACTCGCCCCTGCACAGTTACCAGCTGTCAGCTACGTAGAAAAGGATCCTGGTGTAGAAAGTAATATTAAATACATTCTAACAACAGCTTATCAAGTTTAAACGTGCTGCTGTTGTTTATCCGCTGGAGAGGGAGGGGGGGAGAAGAAGAGGCAGTCGCTCCATATATCGGTTGTTAAGCTTAATGCAGGAATGCTTTAAAACATTTAGAGATGAACTTACACACTTGCTTTTCTCGGAGATGAAATGCCGGTTTGGTAGCGAGGCTCCAAATGCTCTAAATGACGCATACAGCTCTGACGTGCTAAGGTCATGAGCTAGGTTACGCCATGTCGCAAGTTTTGTGAGGTGCTTTTGTGATAGTTAATGGATCGGATTACATTTTTTATTTCTCTCCGATAGCCGATCCAGTAATTTAGGTCAGTATCAGACGCGTAATATTGGATCGGTCCATCCCTAGTCTTTACGTTAGAATATAAAGCGGCTTGAGGCGACAGTTGTTGTGCTTTTGGTGCTATATAAATAAATTGAATTGAATTGAACTGAATTAACTACTTGACTCTAAGCTTGTTAAAGTTAAATGATAACCTGGCGCTCCTGTAGTTGTACAAATATGGTCAGTCAAGGCTTCAAAACAGGCATCCACAAACCAATAGGTAGGCACCATGGTTATTTTTTGGAGTACAGCCTTTTACATAAAGGACCATCTAAAAAGGATCTTGTTTGTGAAAATGCACCACTTTTGATAGAATGCTGGTGATGCAAAGCTATCAAAATCGTCGACGACTGATTTAATAGTCCACGCGTCGTTTGAAGCTTTGTAAGATCACAAAAGAAGCATGAATAAGTAGTAGGATTTAAGAGTGTAATAACGGACTGAAACAGAAGATGGCAGCACTGGATGTACAAGGATGCCAGCTGTCGTTAAACCCCGAAGAAGAAGTAGCTCTGTCCCAGAATTCATAGCGCAGCCCTGCTCAGTTTCCAACAATGGCGGCAGCTAGTTAGTTTTAATATTACTCTTATTATTCTTTCTGGGTCACAAAATAAACGTTTAATATATTTTCAGGCGAGAATGTTACTGTGTAAACCTCAAATATCTGCTCAGTTTATCAAGACACCACATATTTTCAAAAGCGCTCCGACGTTTTCGGAGACGTCTGTTCTGTAGCCCCTGGCTAGCTCGATAGCTAGCCAGGGGCTAGGCTAACTAGAGCCCGTGAGAACACCGGACTCCCGGCAAATCGTTTTCAAACCCACCGCCGTCTTTCGCTACTTAGGTTAAACATATATAAGTCACTTAGATAACTTAAAAATGTTATTGTTTGGCTTTTTTTTTAGTATTTTATTGGAGATGCTCGAGAATATACTCCGGTGTCCTGTTATATTTTAGATAGCAAGGAGTTTATTAAACTTCACCGAAACAATCTGCAAATTTAATAAACTATCATCTTGTCTTTATTTTTAGTTAGCACATACCTTAAACACTTAAAGCTGTAAGCTAATGATAGTTATATAAGAGCAGATGCTGCTGGTGCAATAATCTGTACGCTTTATGTCCAGTGGATACATGATCTGATTAGTCGACTAATCGCAAAAATAATCGATGACTAGTCGAATATCAAAATAATGGTTTGTGGCAGCCCTAATTGTGTGTGCCCTTGTCTGCCTGATGCAGGTAAAGGAGTTTGACTCAATCTCACGTCTGGACCAGTGGCACACAACCCTCCTGCTGCGCATCAAAAAGACCATCCAGGGCGATGAAGGGGATCTGAAATGAAAGACACCTCGGGGTAGAAACGCAGCACGGAGGGAAAGTTTATCACGCATGCTTTCAAACACACAAACCAACACACACCCTTACACTCCCCTCACTGTGTATAGCGTCCGGAGAGGAGTGTTCACTGATGATTTTTCAATATTTCACTGCTCACTTGCTGTTCTTTCAGAGCACTGTCTTTGTTTCAGCGTGTCTGAATCTGGTCAGAATGTAAATCCTCTCGCCCTCACCTCTGTCTAGAGGATTGCTGCATACATTTTTCTCTTGAAATCTGTCCTGGGGGATTTCAGAGCAGTGTATACTGTTTTGAAGTTAGTACTGATAAGAAATATTGCATGTTTTGTACAGTTATTGTTTACTAGTCATATGCAGCTTCTTTCTCTCTTTTTTTAAATCTAGTTTATTGTATATTTAAACAGATTATGTAATGTTTCTCATGCTTTGTATGAATTTAAAGAATGTACCATTATCTTAGCTTGTGTTATTGAGATGGAAACAGAAAGATCTTAAAACAAAATTAATTTATTACATCCACAAACTCTTATTTAGCTTCCATTTTATCACCACAGGGAGGGTAATGATATGCACTAAGTGTAGACTGTTATACATTTATAGGTAATTTTATTACTGCTGTTTATGATTACGTTAGGATTTGTCAACTTAATGATACTTTGAATGTTTGAAGCTGCGATTTAGAGTTTGTACTGTTGAATGAAAAGCACTGACACAGATCTCCTTACTTCTTATACCCAGGGCTGTAATCCTGTGCTGATGAGCATCATTAGTCACTCATAATGTGCTGTAAACGTATCATTGAAGGTTTACTACTGCACTGTAAACCTTGCAAATGGCCAGTCGCTAAGCATGTCATTGTGTATAGTTCAGTGTTGTGTACTTTCACTATTGTTAGCCAGACCAAAGTGTTTACTAAAGGGTCAGTTGCCCCGTGTACCCAGCTGCTCCCAGGTGGGATAACAGTGGGCTGTGGATTTGATCAGTATGCTTGTGCAAATGGAAATTAATAAAGGCATTATATCCCATACTGTTGTTGCCTTTGGTGTTACCTCAAGTAGGTTAGCTTAGCTTTAATACTATTTGTACTCTGGCCTCATCTGTCATGTGTGTGTCATCATGACAAAGTTTTACATGTAAATGATAGCATTTTGTTTTCTATTTAAAAAAAGCTTAAACTGTAGTTTTTCTTATTCAAGGTTTTCTGTTAAATAGTTTTTTACCCCTCTGTTGTAAAAGGCTGATGTCGTCAGGCAGGCAAGTGGACACCGAACTTTGTGAATGTGATAACTCGAGATCAAGGCAACGTAGGATTCTCAAATTAACACAAAAGTGTATCTAATAAAAATCTCAGACTGGTTTTATTCTCAATGACCTCAAGGTCAGAGGTTAAGTTTTCTGAATATTTTGTGAATGCGATAACAAGAAGGTGACATATTTTTGAAATTGATGCCTTAGCTGTGCGTACTAGCAGGCTGAGGGACAATTTCAAACAGAGACAAGTGCCAGGATTTTGAAGGATTTAAGCAATTTTGTTCATAGTTAGATTAAATGATCAAAAGTTCATTGCTGCTGTTTCACAGCTGCGGTATTTTATATGCAGAGTGTTTCTCTGTAATTAATACAAAAGTGTTGTAAAATATTCTAAAACATGTTTTTGAACATGTGTAATTGATTAAAATCTTCAGTTCATTTGTATTCACTGGGATTCGTGTCAGATTAAACTTTAGCTTCACCTCTGTAACAGTGTGATGTTGAAATGCCAAACAAAAAGTGCTAACGCTATTCCTAAAACACCAGAACTCAGATAATTATAATCGTGAAAAACCCAAAGAATACACATAAGGTAGCATGATTTGATTTGAGACAGCTGAAACTGTCAGTAAAGCCAGTAAAATAAACTATTTACATTCACCCCCTACACACATCTTATTTTGAGGTCTCAGTTTAGTCCTTTCTTGTTCTTCACTTTGGATACTGGCTGTTTTCTCCCACAATCATTCTCACCAATAACCACAGTCTGAATGTTGGGGTCCGGAGGTTCAGTATCTGAAGCGGCTTTAGAGTCTGAAACTGGAGCCAAAATAGTTTGCGAAGCTGCAGCTTCCAGCACAGATGATGTCGAAACTCCTGGGATCTGTGAGACTGATGCTAAAAACCCCTCAGAAACAGGAACTGAGAGAGTGGGTACAGACAGAGAAGTAGAGGGCGCTTCAGAGGACATGGGGACAGAGTGAGCCATTGACACTGGTAAAGGGAAGGGAACAGGGATGGCTGACCCATCTATAGAAATGACACTGGTCCCTGTATTGTCAGTGGCTACGATGGGCTGGATCTGAGTCCCTGGTGTGACATCCGTGTGGATAACAGTGATCCCGCCGATAGTGCTGTGGCTGACCAGAGCGATGGCTCCGTGACTGGTCAGCCACTCAGCAGGAACACTGACTGGCTCAGATGGAATCACAATGGAGTCGGTGTGGGTTTTAACAGCAGCATCAGGAGCATCGCCAGCAGCAGTTGTAGCACTTTTCCTGGGTGTGCTCTTATGCTCTCCTGGTCCTGCTTCTTCTGTCTTTATCTTCGTGGGAGATCTGGGCTTCTTTTCCTCCACGTTTCCCTCCAGCACCACCAGGTAGGTCTTCCACGGAGCATCTGAGTCATGAATCTGAAGGTCAAAGAATCCGATGTTATTTTTGCAGCAGTCAGTGCAGGTTTCTTTCTTTTTTCTGTTTTTTAAGATCTACAATCACTGTACAAAAAAATCCAAAAATCATCAGCTTATGTGTCTTTTTTTTCTAAATACGGGAACTTCAGCTCCTGCCACAATACAAGTTAAACAAACTCTGTACCCGTGTAGGTGAAACGACTTTTTCTAAGAGAAGTATTGCTCACCGTAGTGTGCCTGCGTAGGGTGGACTTGTCTGTAAATGTGCGTTTGCAGAGGCCGCACATGTAGGGCTTCTCTCCTGTGTGAATACGCTGATGCCTCTGCAGTGCGTTGAGCTGAGTGAACTGCTTGTCACAGTCTTTACAGCTGTACGGACGCTCGCCTGACAACCACCAAAGAAACAAGAAAATATCAAAAAATAGTGAGGAAGAGATTCATGAAAAATCACCTAAAAATTCAATGTAATATAACTATTAAATGAAAAACGACATCTACATTTTACCTGTATGTATTTTTAAATGCTGGTGGAGAGAGTTCCTCTGAGCGAAGCCTCTACCGCAAGTTTCACACTTATATGGTCTGGAGCCTGTGTGGATGTTTGAGTGGTGTCTCAGGTATTCTTTAGATGCAAAGCTTTTCCCACAGGCTTCGCACATGAATGGCTTCTCTCCTAACACGAGAGAACAAAAAGTTATGGTCTTGTATGTGTAGATAGTTTTGTTTTTAGTGTGCTCACACTTCAGGACTTTTTCTTTAAGAAACACTGTTTGTGGAGATAGACCAAAAAATAATCTCCAATGAGCTTTAAGGGAGAAACTACGAAGCACGAAGCATCCTCAGGTGATTAGCTGTTTTAAGATATTTTAATGAGGGTATTTTTTAAAAACCTAACACTTCATGAATCAGAAAACGGCCATTAATGCTAATGCCAGGTGCTGCTAATCAAATGTACTTAATTCGCTGATCATCCGCAAGCGTGAGCACCTCTATAAAAGCAGATGTTTTGGTAGTTTGCTGGTCTGGATGTGCAAACAAACTGAACTCAAACTCAAATCGTGCAATGCTCAGATGCAATGCAAAAAACCCAGGACTCTACAGTGCTCGGGTAGCATGTTAAATTTTAAAGTTTATTGGGCGTTAAGGGGGAAAAAAAGAACAGGACAGCACAACTTAGGTTTGGAAAGTTGGATCTTACCAAACCACGCGACTTTTGGGACAATTTCCTTTGGACAGACCAGGTGACAAATTGAGATATTTGGCCATAATGCACAGTGGCACATTTGGCAAAAAAACAAACAAACAATACTGACTTTCCAGCACGATGGTGGAGGAGTGATGTTTTGCAGTCACAGGACCTTGACAACTTGCAGTCATTGAGTTGACCTCCTCTGTATGCCAAAGTATTCTAGAGTCAAATGTGAGGCCATCTGTCTGACAGATAACAGCTGGCTGAAAGTGGGTCATGCAGGACAGGATAACGATCCCAGGCACAGCGGCAAATCTCCAACAGAATGACTTTAAATTAAAAGAATCAAGTTGCTGCAATGGCCCCAAGTCCAGACCTCAACCTGACGCAAATGCTGTGGTAGGAGTGTACGAGAGCTGTGCATAAATAAATGCCAGCAAATTTCAATGAACTGAAACAACACTGCAAAGAAGAGAGGGCCAAAATTCCTCCACAACACAATGAAAGACAGATAAAGTCACGTAGAGCTCAATTCCTTCAAGTTATTGCCGCTAAAGATGGTTTACAAGCGACTCAATCATGGGGTGTATTTCGTTTTTAACATGCTGCATAAAGTCATGTGAAAACTTTCTTTTTCTTTTCATTCAGGTCCGTAATGCCAAAAATGACCAAAGCACAGAAATGTAAAGAAATGACAAGATGAAACATGCTCTTGATGACAATGCTCAAATCTGATTAGTTATTAATGTTCAATTATGGTTTTACCTGTGTGCGATCTCTTATGGTAGGCCAGCATGTGCTTCTGAGTGAACCGCGCATCACACTCATCGCATGCAAATGGCTTCTCTCCTGTGTGAGTCCTACACATGTGTAAACACAAAGGTTAAAACCTTATCATCTACTTACACATACACTACATAAACATGTAGGATGCACCAAACACACAGAACTGCCATTAAAAAAAACAGTCCAGTTGTTCTTTGACGGTAAAGTAAACATAGGAGGCTCTCGTGCCTGATCTCCAATTGATGGCAGCACCTTCAGCCTGATATTCCAGCTGTTTCTGGTGAAAGTAGTCTATATATAAAGATGCCTGGTCTGAGCTATTAATTTAGCATACTGTTGGTGCTGCATTTCATGACTAAGTAGCGGGATGCTAATATCAAAGGATTCACTATAAGGAGAATAACTCAAATGACACCCTTAATACTCTCCTACGATTAAAAGCTTTCGGTCAATTTCTTGCTTTTGCAGGCCCATCCCTACCCCGAGGCTTTATTTAACCATCTCCGTACCTGCGGTGCATCTTGAGGGCAGAGTTCTGGGTAAATCTGGCCCTGCAGTCAGTACACTCAAAGGGTTTTGTGCCTGTGTGCGTCCTCTCGTGCAACAACAGGGCAGTTTTGGAGCTGAGTGATTTCCCGCATTCGGGACAGATGTGTCGCAGATTGCGTTCATGCACCTAAGCAGCCGCGACAGAAACGCCACATAAAAAAATGTGACTCTCACAGAAATTGGATTATTACACATTTAATACTTTTTATTATTAAAATAACATTAATATGGCTGTTAGAAATTCTACCGGTCCTCACCTGTCTTTGATGGCGGACGACGTCCTTCTTTCGCTTAAAGGTCTTGTTGCAGGATTCGCAGACAAAGAGCCTCTCGTTACTGTGAACGTGCTTTTCATGGATCTTCAGATTGCTGCGGTTTGCAAAGGTCTGCGAGCAGGTCTCACAGCGATAAACCACATCTGCTTTCACGCCATGGTACGTACTCACCAAGACACCAACAAGTTGCAGCATTATTTAAAAATATATACCATGTACATTATGATATAATGCACATACTGTACGTTGCAGTACATAATTCCAGCTATATTAGAGCTAAAGCATTATTATCATGTTACCTGATATGCTTTAAGTAGCTCTTCTCATAGTGGAAAGTCCGCTGGCACTTGTTGCACTGGAACTGGGCCTTGGATGATTGTTTTAAAGTCTGCTTGGATTGTTCCTCCTCATCCTCCTCCTCCTGCTCCTCTCCGGGTGGTAAAAACAACGGGTCTCCAGAATCCTTACTCTGCGCATCGTCCTCACATTCCCAGTCATCCCCATCAGAGGCAGGGTCTCCCAGTAAACACTCGTCTTCTTTGGCTTTTTCTTTCTCTGGCTCAG